CACCTCCAGTGCTTTGCACAGACATGGATCGTACAACAGCCCTCAGAAATAGGAGGGCAGTGCCAGTCGCTGATGACTTGGCCAGGATTAAGGAGGGAGCCCAGGTCCCCACATCTGTCTCTGAGGAAAGCATCCCACCCCTTTGGGTGTTACAGCTTTGCAATGCTGAGCACGTTCAGAAAGCGACAGGGCAGCAAAGGCACATTTTCCAGCTCTGAGCGTGGGCAGCTGGGTGGGACCAGATGGATCACAGCATGGAAAAGACCCCGTACCTTTGTGTCACGGGACAAACATCTCGTTGGCCAACGTGGATTGTCACAGATAAGCCCCATCATCAACCACCATTCTTTTCCCAATGAACATTTTCTCCAGTACCAGCTGTGGAGGGGTGAACTGATAAATCCCCAGACCTGCAGCTCAGCTGAAACACCTTGAAGATCGTATAGTCAAGTGTGGTCGATGAATGGATGAAGCTGGTGGGGAAGGCAGAGGGAAGGCAGAAGGGTGACACGGCAGGACATCAGAAAGCGGCACTGCTATTAGCATCTAGTCATGGATGGAATAAATTCAGAAAGTGATTTGTCAACCAAGCAGGGATGAGAAATAGCACCCAGAAACAGTAAGGCAGAAGAGGGTTGGTTCTCCCTGGAATTTAGCAGAGCTATGTTGGAGAAGAGATTTCAAAATACAGCCCCAATGCAGACAATTTTCTGTAGGTTGGTGGGGATCTTATTGGAATACCCATTAAAATAGAGAACATGATTAAAATTAAAACCTGCAGGTAGGAGCTTACAGGCTAAATAAAAAGGGAAGGGTTGAAATTAAGATTAGGGTTCACCATTTAAAATAAACCTGTGCCCCAGCCCTGCTGTCTTCTCCACCATCATTTTCTCCAGATAGTCAATGCTTTCATTAACGTAAAATCAGTGCTTTGCACTTCCAGTGCCTGCAGCGAGGCTTGAAGCATGCTGAAAGTGCTCAACCAAAGAACTTGCCACCTCCTTTCAGTGAGCATTTACAGTCCCTTGACCCCTCTCACGGGTCTTTTTTTTGGGTAGCTTTGGGCCAAAGCAAAAGCTGTGGGAAAAGGGTGCGTAATTAAGCGACCTCCTTCACGCCCCCCTCCCTCTGGCTCTGGATTTCTGCTCCCTGATCCGGTGCAACGTGGGCATGGACAGCAGCCTGGATGCATAAAAAACCAAAGTAAACTACCTTCTCCATCCACAGGACTTCACTGTCCGTCTTCACATTGGCAAAGGCTTAGCTCTCACGTCAGGCTACTCTGAGGCTAAAAGGGAGTCGGAATGTGACAGCTCCGGTGTCCCTATGGCTCTAAGCAAGGTAAATCTGATTGCAGTTGAGTGTTTCTTTCACTTAACTGTGCTTCTTATCGAGAAAACAAGATCAAGGAGGTGGTATTCGTCTTTAGCATTTATTTATCATTGGAAAAAAAAAATAATAACCCTTTGAGCAAGCAAAGATCACAAGCACGTCACAATCAATTGGCTATACATTAATTTTGTGTGTGTGTGTGTGTGTGTGTGTGATTCTCTTTAGAACAGCAAGAATGAAGAAGTACCACGAGGAGGTGTGCTTAACACAGTACAAGAGACAATTTGTGATACGCAACCAAACCCAGGCCACAAAATATTAATTAGACACTTCCTATCTGCCTCCAAGAGGCAAGAGTTTGTGGAATTCATAGGAGCCATGTTTGTTTTTGTTGTTGTTGTTGTTGTTGTTTTTTTACACCGGACGCGTTGCAAATGAAGAAGCAGGTGATCGGTGTGCAAAGCAGTCAGAAAACAGGAGCTCAGTCAGCATTTAGCACCATTTTGCAGAAAGGAGTAACAGTACAATACAGTGAAAATGAGAAAGCAAGCAATAGACAGCATAGGAACAGGGCAAAAAGCAAAACATTTCTTTTTTTTCTTTCTTTCTTTTTTACAAGGAAAGCAAAACGTGTTACAAATCAGCGGTGAAACAGAATCAGCGTTGTGGTAGCTGGGAACACGGAAGAGTGGGAGCACTGTTTCCCCGTTGGGATAGACAAGCTCAGAGTCCAAAGTAAATGTGGAACGGCAGAGATTTGGTCTCCTTTCTGATAAACCTGAGTGAGTCAGATGGGCATAAAGCCTGTGGAGGGTAGAGCTACGCAGGGTTTCGCCCCGCGGCGGCCAATGCGTGCTTGGACGGGCGCTGAGGAGCTAATGTGCATGGAGCAAAGGCCAGGATTTATATCCCTGCTTTGTTGCTGTCTGAGAGGGAGGTCTCCAGGCCCTGCCAGTCTCCCAGGCTCTTTCTGCAAAGATGGAAACCTTCCAAGGTTCATTCGTCCCACCCGAAGAGAGGTGCCCAAAAACGGTCACTCAATGACTCTTGGAAAGGTCCTTCACTACAGAAGGAATTTAGACTACTGACTAGCACTCCATACATAGCTTTGTAGTTACATGTCACCAAACACTTCAGGTATTAAGGAAATATAAGGCCATATTCTGACCATTCGCTGTGCGTGTTCCATTCAAACACCGTGCTTGACGCTCCTCATTGAGAAGAAGCAATCCTGAAGCCCTCGATGATGACCAGTTGATCCAGCATCATGGAGATGCTTGGATGAGGTGGTCTAAGCATCATAACGATGCTCCTTGGGCAAAATTTGGTTACCCTTGAAGGCAAGGGCTAAATTCCCATTGAGTTCAAGGTGAAGCTGTGGTAAGTGTGGCATCTCTTTCGATGTGAAACTAAGGGCCAACAAATAATAGTGGGAATTGTTTGGCATGGTCTTTCCTCAGGTACAGTGGGATCGGTGTGTTGGGCTATTGGCAACTGTCTACGTGCCTTCCTGACATGTTCTGCCTGCTGTGACACGTCATCTTCACAGCTGTTGCTAGTTCCTGCTATAGGAAAGGACGTTACTGAGGAGCGTGAAGATGCATGAAGCATCTAAACGCCAAGGAATCACACCAAGTCTTGGACGCTCGGGCTTCTCTGGCCAGTTGTCCCTTGCACGGTGGGGTGGGAAGAGCTGCGAGCGTCGCTCTCCTCCAGCAGCTCAACGCAAGACTTTCGCCGAGCTGCTCTGGAGACAGAGCTGAGCTTTGCACTGGAAGGGGTGCAGCAGGGGTTTCTGAGCGCTCAAAAAAGCAATGGTCAATATGGACAGGTCAGCGTCTCCATGGAGCATGCACATCAAAAAAAAAAAAAAAAAGGAGAAAATGCACTACATTCGCAAAGATTTCCACAGTTTTACTTCCTGGAGGATTTCCCTGGTTTCCTCCTAAACATCGGAGGTTTAAATATATATATTTCTATATATGGATATATATTTTTCCACATACACAACCTGACTAGCTCATAGCACACAGTTCTAACACAGCTAAGCTTGGAAATACACCACTGAATTCAGAACACTACACTTACTTATACTCAAAGGTTTAGGCTGTTAGCGCAAGGCAAACAGGACACATCACACAATACACTGAACTCGGTATTTATTCATCGCTACGGCCAGCAAATGTCACTACCTGTATGCCACAGAGCTTTCTCCCTCTTTGGAAACGTTCTCCCAGCCTTGTAGCCCACCACTTACTTATGTTTCCAATTGTAACGGGGTGAGACCCCCAAAATGGGATTCTCAGTTCTCCCGCCCCATCCCTTTTTTCTGTCGGATCGTTTCGCATCTCTAGAACATCCTAGCAGCAAGACTTTCCTCACTCGAACACCTCTACAGCAACACAGTTCTGATCCTCTCCTCTTCCACCACCTCCCTACCCTACTTCCCATCTCTCCCTTCGTTCTTCCCACTTGTCCGCTCTCCGAAAGCCTCAAGCTGGACTGTGCGTTCAGGTGGAAACACTGAGCTTCAAAAATAAAAGGAAAACCCTGCATCTTGCCTTGCAGCTACAGGAGAGGTTAACAGCTCAGCTTGGTGGGATCAACATTAATCCTTATGTATTTATGACGTGATCCAGGAGTCAGGCATGTAAATTCGGATTGGGACCACAGCTCTCCCAGCTCCCATTGACTCAGTGACCCTGATCCTGACCAGTCTGTTGGGCCAGTTCACACTCGCTGCGTTTACATTTTCTAGACTGGTCTTGCTGGGCCTGGGGATTACCTAGAGTAAGAGCACAGTAAATAGAATTGAAACCCTGAGATCTTGCCTGGAGGGAGTCTAGGGATCCCAGCCACTGGTTTATGGCCCTCGTGGGATGCTTATGAGCCAACAGGAACTCCAACAGTTGGTAGAAACAAAACAACGGGGACAGACAGCTCTAGCCAACCTCAGTGACTCATTCCTTTCTAGCCTTTGGAAGGTCAGGTCTGCAAATTAAGCCTCCTTCTGAAATCTAGCTCTGTCCACTGGCACCCTAGAAGTGAAGAAAGCAGACCAAGATTCAAACCAAACCAGGAATAACTAAAAAGATCCATAACCTAGGGGAAGCAATAGGGAAGAACAGCCTGCTGACAACCTAGTCTGACCTGCCACATGCTTGAGAAGTCTTCACTTCTCTCTGCGCCTTCTCTCATTCCTTTTTATTTTTTAAAATCAAGGACTCTGAGTGGTGTTGACGCTGCCTTTGATGCAGCTAGATCTACTCCCCAGCCACCCTGGGGGAAGGATTTGGCCCTTTATTTGCATGGGATCTCCTCTCCCGTTGCTTCTTGGAGCAAAAGTCCCACCAGTGTCACCAGGGGAAATTGCTCTTGGCCACACCCTTGAGTCTAGTGGATTTACAGCAGATCCACGGCACCACGAATAAACCTCTGATGGTCTCTGCCTCCAAAACCTTTCGCCTGCTGACACCAGTGGGAAACGACCAAACAACAGCCAACCCCAAAAAGGGATGAGAGCACAGCCCCTCCACCGCCCAACGGGCACTTCCACGCCATCAAAGTGTCGAAGGACTGAGCCCGAGGGAAGGGACGGGCTGTTGGACGCAGTCGTGGTTGATCCATCACCTTCCTCTCCTACGACCCCGCTTGTGCATTCCCACGTCCCTCACTCTGTGCAGAGCCGTGTTGTGCAGGCAAAGCAGAACATCCTGACCTCAGAAACAAGGATTCCCTAATCCTCCTTGGAAATAAAACAGAGAAGCTTCTAATACAATCAGAACAAAAAGCAGATTAGAAGCCTCTAATTAATTTTGTGGCCTTTATTTAATCAAAGTAAAGGGGGGGGGGGAAAGGAAAAGAAAGAAAGAAGGAAAGAAAAAGAAAAAAAAAACAAGAAAGAAAGGAAAGTACAGTGACATTTACTCTTTTGCCTCAGCCAGTTTATTGTTCATCTCTTTACTTTTCTCCTTGTCCTCTGGCTTTGCTGTGTTGGAGGTCTCAGCGCTCTTTTTCTTGGCGGCCCGGCCAGATGCAATCTGCTTGTCTTTGGCCTTTTTCAGGGGTTTATGGCTTGTTGTGGTCTTTTTTGGTTTGGAAGGCTTTACGCTAGGCTTTTCCACCTGCATGGAGGGTGACATGCAAAACGACAACACAGAGATGGGGAGAGAGAGAGAGAGAGAGAGGAAGGGACACAAGGACAGGTGGAAAACAGGATTTAGATCAGAAACTGTGTGAATGTTATTTATTTACCCAGCTCTGCCTTGCCACGAAGTCAGGGGAGCAACTGGGTACATGCTGAGCTGCAAATGGCCAACTCCTTTCATGGTGTTGTTGCCCTGAAGTCACATTGCCACTGGAGCCAGCAGAGCCCATGGTCTCCAGATCAGGACACAGCAGGTTAGAGAGGAGAGGGAATATTATCAGTCGTTTTATGAAGTCCTCCATCTTTCTCTGACTTCAGGAGGGGCTTTTTGAAAGCACATGGGATTGCCTCTCTCTGGATTTGAAGCAGAGAAATGATGCTCCGGAAGAAGAGCCTGCTATGAATCCCCATTTTTCTTGCAGGACAGGACTACTCACTCTGTTCATCCCATAACAGATTAATTACTTGGGAAAATTAGTTGGGAGACACTGATTGGCACCTGAGCAAAGCCCACAACAGTGTCTTGCATCCACCTGTTTCTACAGCTCCCCTAAAAAAAGGATGACAGCTTCAAAACTGAGGAGGAACAGAAGCCTTCAGCTTCTCCCTGCAGTCCCTCTGACACCTCACAAATCTAAGCACTTATAAATTCTAGGAAAGGCTAATGGTGCTGGCTTTAAATCTGCACAGACTGGCTACTTTTATACGCAAGTCCTCTGCTGCTACTAGAAAAGAAGGCTGGAAGACAGCCTTCAGTCCAGGCCCTTCTCAACACGTGTCCTCCACCTGATCAAAGCCCAAAGTGCTTTCTGTCAAAATCTGTTGAGTGATCTGAATTAACTGTGGATGAAGATCTGGCTCTAACCATGTTGTTCCTGGGACAAACTGTTACGTGTGGTGCCTGTACCTTTGGAGGGAGAAAGAGAAAGCTGTCTAGATAATCACCTGGGAAATGACAATGCAAAAACCTCCTTCACTGGAGCCCTACCCTCACTTCTTTACAGTAGGGCACTATTGTCTTCTGAGTGCGTCAGCCTGTACTAAAGCCCATAGAATCACAGAATCGTTGGGTTGCAAGAGACCTTCCAGATCTTCTAGTTCCAACCCCCCTGCCATGGGAAGGGACCCTTCCCACCAGCCCAGGTTGCTCCAAGTCCCGTCCAACCTGGCCTTGAACACTTCTGGGGATGGAGCATCCACAGCTTCTCTGGGCAACCTGTGCCAGTGCTTCACCACCCCCAGAGAAAAGAATTTCTTCCTTCTTTCTAATCTAAATCTAACTGCTTTCAGCCTGCAAACTGACAGCTCTCATTCTGTCACTACAGGTTTCCTGTAGCCCCTTCAGGTACTGGAAGGCTACTACGAGGTCTCCCTGGAGCCTTCTCTTCTCCAGGCTGAACAACCCCAACTCTCTCAGCCTGCCTTCACAGGGAAGGTGCTCCAGTCCCTTGATCATCTTTCTGGGTTCCTCTGGACCCACTCCAACACGTCCATGTCTTTCCTGTGCTGAGGACCCCAGAACTGAACATAGCACTGCACGTGGTGTCACACCAGAGCAGAAGGGGAGAATCACCTCCCTTGACCTGCTGGCCACTCTTCTTTTCATGCAGCCCAGGATACAATTAGTTTTCCAGGCTGTGGGTACACAACGTCACCTCACGTCCAACTTTTCATCCACCACCACTCCAAGGTGGGTCCCCAGATGCATCCACTGCTTGGAAACGAAGATGCCACATGAGGGGAATGACATCAGGCAGTGCCCAGCCCAGTCTGACTCTGTTGGACATGTCCCACCAGGAGCAGTGATGGCCCTGGATCCCTTTGGCCACATTTCTCACCTTTGGAGGTTCTTTGTAGGGTTCGCTGTAGAGAGTGCGTATCCTTCTGCGCTCCAGGTATTTGTTATCGGCTGGAGTAGGTTTACTGGTTTCCCCCTTGAACTGAGCGCTGTAACTGGTTTCGTGTGTCATTTTCTCCTCTGGAGGCTTGTACTGGGGCTTCGCTTTAATAGCTTTCGCAGGTTTGACATCTACCCAGGGTCTGAACTCATTCCTGAAGATCAAAAAAGAAAGGGGTTCAGAATTAAGCCAACAGGAAAGCCATAGCAATGGGGGAATGGGATCCCCCACTGCTCAACAAGGTCTATCTGGAAGAGTTTTTGCCTCCATCCAGTCAGGTTTACAAAGAAACTACTTTCCAACAGCTCATTTTGTTACTTTATCCAAACCCCATCAATACATTGGATAAAGCTGCCAAAAGCACAGGGATACTGCCTGTTTGAAGGACGCTGTTCTTCATGGAACATGAATGGGCAACACGTCAATGGGCTCACTTGAGCCCACTAGGTCCCTCTTCACTGAATGTCACCCATTTGTCCACAGATAATCCTCTACAGACCATTGTTAAAATATCCCTTCTGCATGAAAAATTGAGAAAAAGGAAGAGGAAACATCTTTAAAGAACTGGATTGAAGATGTGGATATATTACTAACAAAGTTCATCCTGAGCTCCGCAGACGGTAAAAGGCTTCTTCCTAGGATCCACTTTTGTTCCAAAGTAGACTATATGTTTCCAAATGCTTTCAAAAGAAAATAAAGTCATGCACTAATTCTCTCTGCCCATGTTTATTTGTCACTCAGATTCCTTTCTAGCAACTTCTGAACCCATTCTGTCACATTTTTGGCAGAGGTAGAAATCTCAAGGTGAAAATCATAACACCTTTCCTCAAAATCAGTGAGTGGGCACCAGAGGAATATCCAAACGGTGTCCTTCAACTGAGGGAAAGCCAAGTAAAAGTTCATTTTCTTACTTATGGTAATGCCAGCTGGCCAACCAGCCGACACAGACCACCAGGTCAAGCAGCAAACCTAAGCACAGTTGGCACCTACAGAACCAGAGACAAAGGATGGATGCTGTTAGCACCACACACATAGGGGCTGCACTTTAAAGATGGAACACAGGCCAGGATTTATCCATTCTGCTGCTACTGTGAAAATGCTGGTTTATACGGAGGTGAGCTTTGTTACCATGGTGCCTGGCAACCTCATTATGTGCTGCATTATGCAAACACGCAGAAAGACAGGGGCTGCTCCTTGAAAAGCTTGTGATCCCTGCAGGCAAAGCAGACACACGGGGTGGGGAAAAGGGAGAGAAAAGCCTCATACTACCTGCTTTGCAGGCAGTCTGGTTGCTGAAATGCTAAAGCAAGAGAAGACGGAGAAGAGCAGAGGGATTAATGCAATAGAGCTGGGCTCTGCGGACAACAACCACACTCACCTGACTGTCAGAAAGGAACTTGAATCCCTCTGCTCTTTTTGATCCTTTCTTTGCAGGACTTGATGCAGATGTAACAACTCTGTGAGGACTCAGAGCCACTCTACTTGGCGACAGGACCCGTGACTACCCTGTGTCTCCAAGACAAGCCTGGCTTTGCAGGCGAAGAAAAGAGCCATTCTGAGGTGGATGGCTGCTGATGCTCTATGTCACCAGCTCTAAAATAGCTCAGCCACAATTTAACAGGCTTACCTAATGGCAGGGGGGTTGGAACTAAATGATCTTTAAGGTCCTTTCCAACCCAAACCATTCTAAGATTCTGTAATTCTCTGTTAGAGGAGGATAGAGGGCTGTTGGCCTTGAAAGATTTTCAGTGTTGGCAAAGCTATAAATACCAGATATGTTAAATGTATTCTGCGCACATCTAGAAATGATGGGTTGCCCAGAGAAGTGGTAGAAGCCTCATCCCTCAAAATACTTAGGATCAGGTTGGATGGGGCTCTGAGCAACCAGATCTAGTTAAAGGTCATAGAATCACAGAATCATAGAATCATAGAATTATAGAATCATGGAATCCTAGAACAATTCAAGTTGGAAAAGACCCTTGGGATCATCGAGTCCAACCATTAACCCTACACCACAAGTTCACCGCTAAACCACATCACCCAACACCTCATCTAAACGACACTTGAACACATCCAGGGATGGCGACTCAACCCCCTCCCTAGGCAGTCTGTTCCAGGGTCTGACCACTCCTTCTGTGAAGAATTTCTTCCTAATGTCCAGCCTAAATCTGCCCTGTTGCAACTTGAACCTGCTCACTGCAGGGGAGTTGGACTAGATGACCTTGAAAGGTACCTTCTATCCCAAACCACTCTATGATTCTACTCTAAACCCTTTTCAGGAAAATGTGCATGATTTCACATCACAAGCTATTACACCAAAGCCAGTCCCTTCAAGGATGTGAGAGAGCATAGGCCATGTTTGTATGGAGTCCTGCCACACCTGGGATGGACCAGCTACTCCCTCCTTGACCATGCTCAAGTGCCCAGTGTGCCCATTTCTGCGTATCTGCCACCCAGAACTTGTAGAGGCAGTGGAAGGAGGAGAGAAACTCAGAACACTTACTACAGCTACGTCCAGTGATCTCAGTGTCTATTTTTGATCTTAAGGCAACATATAAACTGTAAAAAAGTGTTACTAGAATAGACACAGGATATTCTGTGCTGATTGCGTCAGCGCTCAGAAACTCAGCTTGCCGTGGTTAATTAGCACAAAAATACGAATTTCTAAATCTCTTCATCTCCACCACAAATGAATGATGGAAAACAGCCCGTTGGAAACTGCCCTTGGAACATCCCAGCTCTTGAATACAAACCAACTATTGCTTGGAAAAGTACTGGTTACCCCAGGCCAAAAATGTAGACAGGGGTGTGCTAGCAGCTTCACAGCCTGGATCACCACATCTGAGAGCCAGGCACGTTGAATTTACTAATCCAATGTACTAATTACGAATGAGGAGGCAAGTGTCCTGCTTGGGGTCTGTGTCTCGATAGTAGGGATGAGGGGGACGTTTCAGGAATCATAGAATCACAGAATGGTTAAGGTTGGAAGAGATCTTGAAGATCATCTAATTGCAACCCTCTTGCCCTGGGCAGGGACACGTCTCTCCCACCATCCCAGGTTGCTCCAAGCCCCATCCAACCTGGCCTTGAACACTCCCAGGGATGGGGCATCCACACCCTCCTTGGGCAACCTGTGCCAGTGCCTCACCACTCTCATGGGGAAGAATTTATCCCTTAGATCTACTCTAAATCCACCCTCTTGCAGTTTCAGGCCAAAGGTGACCTAAATCCCCTTTCCATGTCTGGTGACTCTCCATCCAAGGTCTGTCTGATAAGGTCCTACATCACCACGAGCTCACATTGTCCAATGGCTACACACCCTTAAGGGAGTCACATTCTGTGGTATAGAGTTGGCCTGATGCTCCAAGGTATTTATGTCACTCAGGGATAGTGCTTTATAAACTTCTACAATCTTGATATGCAGCAAAGAAGTGAAAGGAAAAGTAGCAGCTTTAAGAGTGGATTTTATTTATTTTTTTATATTCTGGGCACAGTAAAAATTTCTGTTCTTAAAGGTATAGCTTGCTCCCATAACACTAAAACTAACCCTGGTTTGGAGAAAATCCCTGCAGTTCTGAGACCTCCCTCATTACTAGTCAACACCCTGAGGCTAATATGTGGTGTAAGCACCCAAAAATCACAAGTTCCGGCTGCAATCTGAAACAAGTCCTGAAAATGTATGTTTTTCCCCGTTTTTAGAACAATGGGTCATAGAGACACCTGGACCACCACAAACTGCTCCACACAAAATTAGCCCTTGAAAGTATTTCAGGAGAGTGGTAGACGCCATCCTAAAAGAGTTCATCCTCAAAGCTCACCTAAAACCCGAGCTTTTGCTCAGGTTTTAGGTGAGCTCATGCTGCAAGGCTGAGTGATGAGCACGGACTAGCACTGGTACAGACATACCCAACTTGCACAGCTTAGCTCAGCTCTGTATTTCTTTATCTAAGGGATTTTTGCTGCTCTTAATTTCCATGAGGAAGATTTTAAGAGTTGCTATCTTGGCACGAAACAGAGGGGCTGAGCTGAAATAGCAGCAAATTACACACCTCCTGATTTTCTGCCTAGGTCTGGTCCTTGCTTTACAAAGAATAATTAGAATCAGTTGGGAACCCAGTGCTGATTTGAAATGAGAATGAAACTCAACAAAAAGGAGTATATGAGGCATCAGATGACCTCTTGCCAGTCAAGTCCAAGGCCAGGTTGGAGGAGGCTTTGAGCAACCTGGTCTGGTGGGAAGTGTCCCTGCTCATGGTAGCGGGGTTCGAAGGAGATGATCTTTAAGGACCCTTCCAACTCAAACCATCTCTAAGGTCCCTTCCAACCAAAACCATCCAAAACCAACTCTATGACATCCAACAGGAAAAATTCCCAGTGAAGATAACGGGAGTTTAGCCATCTCCAGATCTGACAAGACCACAAGATGGGGCAGGTGTTTTGTGAATTAATAGGTAGCAGATCTCCTTAGAAGATGGCAACAGCCTGGGGAGCTCTAGTCTATATCCATTAAAGTCAAGAGCTTCTCTCCACATATACCAGCAGATACCACACTGCTCTTGCGTGGGCCTTCATCCACCCTGGCTATTTTAATTGCATTTTCCCTGGCTATTTTGCATCCACCTTGGCTATTTTAATTGCTAGAGGTGGCTGCAAGTGAAGGTGACCTCAGCATCTTCTTCCACCTCAGCCAGGAGACATGAGGTTGATATGAGCTCCGAGTTATGGCATGCAGAGATCTTTGGAAGATGCTCACCAACACTCGTGTAGGCACTGATAACCTTCATCTACAGATGCCAGAGCAAAGTTAAGAGGGAGAAGAAGGGGCAGATGGGGCCAGGTTTAACCACTTCAAAGCTTCCACCGACTTTGAAAGACTTTAAAGAGAGGTTACGTTTGTACAGAATGAGCACAGGATGTTAAATGTACTCTGCTGACAGCAGTTTTACAGGCACTGAGTCAACTCAGCTCCCTCACCTCGCTGTCCACATATGAAATAATGAATGGTGCAGAAAAAAGAGACCAGGAGCTTCACGGTGGAGTCCTGCACAGAAGGGATACTTCCAACCTACTTTGAAAAACTCAACCAAAAAAGAAAAGTATTTAGATTTTTCACTGGGAAAAAAAAATCCTTTATGAAATGTTTGGCCCAAAATG